TCAAAGATACGCTTAGAAAAAGTATTTAAGCTTTCATAATTTCTACAAATAAAATGATGATGACATTACACCATTATCCATCCAAAATTTGTACCACGAAAGACACGAAGCCAAATAAACACACTTAAAATTCCTTGCTTGTACATAACTGCTTATTGAACTGTCACGTCGTTAACAAATTTTAAATCATCGATCTGCATTGAGCTTTAAAAACTGAAACGTTAAAATATATGCGTTGTATTTTATACATGTTATTTCCTGATTTGTTGTTGATTTTTTATATCTCTGTCTCTAAACAGAAATTAATTAGAGCATCAAAAAGTTGTAATTTCTCCATCATTAAATGTTATTGGATTGTTTCCCCTGGAACTGGTTTTACTTCTCGTAATATGATATTATTCAAATTCTCATCTACTTCCGTCACGCTCTGTTTAATTCTTTAAAGCTAATATGGTTCCGGAAATTCGCGCAAAGCTATACAAGGTCTATTTGTGCTAAGCCTTAATAATTTTGATCAGCACCACCTACCACCAATTTTTGGGCTACTCTTTTTATTTTGTGAGATTTGACTGTCACCTTTATAACACACCCATTGAGCTAAAGTGTAGAGAGCAGGTTTTTTTCTTTTACAATAAACAGACACGAACAAAGACCCTGAAATCTTTAGCCCGACACGCTAGCCATTGGGCCACGCTCGGCCCTTTATATAGGCAACTTACGTCTAATCACATTATGTAAATTACTAAAATTTTATCATTTAAACATTTATGTAAGAAACCAACATAACATCTCGTTATACGTTTACGTAGGAAATCAGCACAGTATCTCATTACATGTATATCTAAGAAATCAGTACATTATGTCATTACATGTATATCTAAGAAATCAGTACATTATGTCATTACATGTTTATGTAAGAAACATATACATAATTGCGTTTCCCATCTATTTAAAAACTCAACTTTTAACCTCATTACACTTTTACATAAGAAAGAAACATTTATTATGATTGGACAGAAAAAAGTTGAACCTTATTACTTCTATTTAAGAAGCACAATAAAACGTATTAAAACTTCTTAATAAAAACCCTGAATTGTACAGAACATTTCTTGTTGAAATGATTATTAAGTTCCATTAAATATATTTTTTAAACAGGACCTCTCTCTCCGCTAGAATCGCCTCGGTGAAAGGAATCCGATATAAAAATATAAAGATTTACCCGATTTTGTTGAAAGTTGAAAAGACTGTAGCGCACAATACGATATGATGGTTACAATTTACAGTATCCAAATCGGACAGCAAGTGACCGAGTTATAACTGGCTACACAATCAGCAGGAACCCTATACTTAATGACAGTATTATTATCTTTTTTTTTGTATAACTGATGAGTCCGTAAGATGAGTCTTCTTCATTTTCGCCCGTCGTTTCATCTGTTCTTTAGACGAGAGTTGAGTAAATCTTCAGGAGACTGCTCCAAACTCCGCTGACCGTGACTGGAACTTTGCTATTCCTCGGCATGTCATCATTATTCCCTCGATTACTTGCATGTGCAAAGTTCTCAGGTGTTCGACTTGCAAACTGTTCAGCCGCGGTGTGTGATAATAATGGACTTTTTAAAGCCCTTGTTGAGGCAAATCCATCTATCAATCCCAAAGATACTGTGGCAGCACTCAAAAATAGGTTTGATGCTAACAAGGACAGTACTGATAGCAGTAGTAGCCTACCGACCTATCAGAAGGTTAAAAAGAGGATCTACAACCTGAAATAAACCTTGTTACCGTTGCTGGTAAGGTGGTGCGACCACTCCCACAGTTCGTGTCTCTTTGACTGTTCGTAAGTCTCGAATGGTGTACGTTATCATCATATAAGTTGCGTATCTGGATACAGCAGCTTCCAAAATTTCAAAGCGGGAAAGATCTTGTGTTAACTGTGATGTTGTTTGGGAACCCCACTTTGCCATTATGACGAAAGTAGCACTGAATGAAAGTATACGTTTTGTTTTTGTTTTTAAGAAACTGATACTAATTTATTCATAACTTTAACTGAGAAACAAATAAACACTTAATGCTATTACCCTCATGTTAAGTGTGTTTGTTTGTTGAATAATAAGCAGAAAGCTATACAATGAGATATCAGTGCTGTACGCACCACGGGTACCTAAACCCGGTTTTTAGAGTTATATTCCTTTAAACTTGCCGCTGAATCACTGGAGCCTTTTTTTTTATGAAATAATTAATTCCATTACGCTTTTATGCGAGAGACAATTCTTGAATCACGTTATATCTTTTTGTTTTGAGCCTGAATTTGAATGTTCCTATGCCCTTAAACCTAATTTGAATAGTATTTTGTCTTAAAACTAACTTTGAGCATAACTATTATACTGTAAATCTGACATCGGATGCTAGTAAGCTTTGAAGATTATATGAACGATAGCATGCCTTCAGTCAGACGTTCCATCTAAGGTTTAATGTTAATACACGGTGGAGGTAACAACTGGGTATTATAACGCCTTGAAACTGAAACACATTGACAATAAATAACTGTTTGATACTTCTTTCCAAGGCGTATTTCTTTTACTATATCAATAAATTACTCTGTAGATAAATTAATCGAAACAAATGTGAACAATTTTCACGTATATTATCATATATTTACTGGTTTAGAAAATACGTATCTAAAATTAAAAGCCAGTTACAATTTCAAATATGAATATGAACATGTCATTTGATTAACTACATCTCGCTGGGCGTAATGGAAATTGTACTATTTTATTTTCTTTCGAAATCCATATACATTACTCGTATTTTTAACCTTATTCAAGCGTTTTCAGCCCATTTAGAAAACAGGGTTTTAATTATAGAGTCTGTATGGCTGTAAGTGAGTTTGTAGCAATTATGGTTGTTATATATGTATTTAATTCAACTGGTACTGATTTTTATCTAAAAGACATCACGTTTGTTGGACATTACATAACTTTATGTATTCATGTGTTAAAAGATACGATATTTCTAAAATCCAATACATATATTGACACATATCTATCCGTAATCTATTGCAAAACAATATTTATTGAGGGGTTCTGAAATCTTCCGAACAAAGTAAAAATAAATTTCAAACTATCACAGAAAAACAACATTATGAGACACGAATTAAAACACTGTTTTTTAACTACGACCTAATATGTTTTGGCAGCCCCTGGTTGCTTTCTCCAGAGGTATTTAACTTGTGAAGAGTCTAAGCAAGTCAGAAAGTAAATACCTCTGAAGAAGGCAGCCAAAGGTTGAAGATTAATTAAGAGTCTGAAGGTAAATACCTCTAAAGAAGGCAGCCAGGGGTTGGAGAGGAATTAAAGTCTGAGTAAGTCTGAAGGTAAATACCTCTAAAGAAGGCAATCAGGGATTGGAGATAAATTAAGAGTCTGAATATGACTGAGGATAAATACCTCTAAAGAAGGCAGCCAGGGGCTGGAGAAGAATTAAAGTCTGAGTAAGTCTTAAGGTAAATACCTCTAAAAAAGTCAACCAGAGGTTATTAAAACATGTCAGATCTTTTTTTTAATCAAAAATGATATTCTAAATCATGCTTCATAACGTTGCTTTCGTGCCTTAGTTTGATAGATGTAAGTATGAAGAAACATGTACTTACATATAAATATATTAATTTTCTAAACCAAGTTCGATCTAAACAACGATGTTGCCTAAGTTTTAAGATTATGTATACTCTATATTTATTTCTATTTTTATACAATGCTTGGTGATACAAATAAATTAGAAAACCCAAATACTGCATGGATCACTTTTAAACAAACAGTTTGATGTCAAGGTGTAAAGATTTCTAGCTAAGAAACAAAAAGCAGCTAAAAAAAGTCTGATCTAGACTTCCTGAGGAGAGTTTTTATATATGTATGTGTCATGCGTAAATACTACTAGGTTCTGAAATATGTACGTTAGGGTTTTTGACAGCTGGAACAGGCTGGTAGGTTTATGTTTTGTTTGTTTGTTTTGAATTTCGCG